CGATTATTTTCTTGACCGAGACATGAGTAAAAATTTGGCTGATATCTAGTTTCCCAGAGAATAATCAGGAGAACAAGGCGGATTCGTTTACAATCTTCAGTTGTGCATTTTGTCGACGTACAATAATAAAAAAATTGTGATAGTTAGAACTAGTTCAAAGGTTTATTCACAAACATTAAAAGATATGTGACGGGAAATTTTAGAAGCGTTCATCTTGTTCCTCTGATTATTTTCGACAAAACTAGATATCAACCAAATCTTTCTTATGTTTCGGTGAAGGGAACGAGCGGCAACGCACCTACGCTTTTTTCGCTACGTAAGCGTTTTCATGTAGAAACGACGTATTGTCATCAAAGTTTATTTTCTGTAGAAACTTACTAGTGACTAAAACCTCTTCTGATCAAATGGTTTTTTCGTGTGAGATAAGCGTTTGCTTATTCAAATTTAGTCTCTTAGAAAAGATATTTGAATGGTTTTTTTAAAAACTGTATCCAGAATTTGTAAAATACATTTCAATTCGTGAAAAATTATTCATGTCGTCGTTTAGGTGCCGGTTTATCAGGGTCTGAATTAGGATTAGCGGGAGGATCCGGTGCAGGGTACGGAGCATCATCAAGTTACGAAAGTTATGGTAGTTCGGGTTCAGGCTTGGGAGGTGGTGATTTTGGCGGAGCTGGTGGTGTTAGTGGCAGTTACGGATCATCAAGTTTTGAAAGTAGCGGTGGGTATGGATCAGGATCTTTGGGTCAAGGAGGTAATAGTGTTGATTTTGCCGCAGCAGCATTTCAAGCAGCTGATAAAAATAAGTAAGTACTGTCAAAATAACAGTTTAAAAAACATTATTCTACGACCGGAGTTTTTTTGTCAAACTTTTGGCTATACACTGGCTCATACTGTATATAAATCTTTTAGGGATGGCTCTGTTGATGCTCACGAATTTCGTGATTTTGTTGGTCAAAATGTCAAGTAAGCAAAACGAATTTTTCTATCTTTATTTGAGACAATGTATTGGTCTTTTGTCTCTCTTGATCTACTTAATATCAGAAAAGTATGATTGTAAGACATTATAAGTAAGTTATCTTGAGAAATTTTTATGTGTATATATGTTGAAGAAAGTTTTGTAATGATAATCGGCAAATAACAGACTTTTTCTACTGAGTCGATACAAACGTCTTTTCTATGTAATTAAATAATTTTATCAAGGTAATACCTTGTTTTATTATTATATAAACAAACCTACCATTTCTTTTTTTCTCAAATGAATGACGTACATCGACGTCTAAATTGAGCAATCTTGTTTCAATTTTAGTCAATAAACACAATGTTTTATATGAATAATGGATTGATACGATCATATGGCCATCGATTTTTATCAAATACCAACCATATAGTGTGACTTTTTTTTCTGCTCAAGGATTTACCTTTTTCCAGTGCCCACACAACATCAATATTTTTATTAGCTATATTTATTTCATTTCATTTTATAGATCCTGTATCGTTTCAAAACCATATTTTTTTCTCTTTTCATTGAATAAAATACGTAGACAATATCATAAAAAAGATTAACTACCATATGAGGGAAACGTAACTTTCTGGTACAATCAATAAAAAAAAATAAAAGTGTTCATAAAAAAATTTGAATGGTACGTTTTGTTCCCCTGTCTTTGCCGAGTATCCTATAAAAATTTCCCAACTGCCAGACTCATACTGGCTGAGTTAGGAGGAAGACAATTTTCAGTTTTTGCCATAGAGAATTTTTGGCAGGATTTTGCTAGAAAAAGGGTTGAAATAGATGTATTCTACGTCGTTCGACAGAGAATGATTCGAGCAGTACAGTGGGACTGTGAGCAAATGCGTCAAGCCGAAAAACCGCAGAAAAGTTTTTTCATTCTTTAGTGTTAAAATCTAAAAAGTCCAAATTTCGTTATGTGATTCTACTTTCAGAATTATCCATTATTTTAGCAAAGACTATAGATTTTAGAGCTCCAAAAATTCGGTAGTCAAACTCGCCGCAGTCTGACGAGTCGACTGGTGTACGGTATTGATGGTTTTCGTTTAGCTTTGACCAAAAATCTCACGAAAACAGGTTGGTCTACATTTAGTTAAAAAACAAAAGTCGATCCACATTTTCCCCTATAATGTAAAAATAATAAGGAACAAAATGAGGATTCGATCTTAAATTACTTTTGCTAGTACAACTTTTGATGCTCTATCTAGTGCAGAAGTTTCATGGAGAAGGAATGCAAGCTTCATTAGTACTGAGCAAAACAAGTTGCAAAAAGTCAGTCTACATTTAGAGCGGAAATTGACTTCCGCAAGAATGAAAGCTGTTTTATCTCTACCAAATCATGCAAACTGAATTTTTTTTTAAATAGAGTTGTAGACCGACGCCTGATCTACAATTTAGCCACTCCAAAAATTTCTTCAGTGGCGGACTTTTGGAAAAAAACTGTAAGAGAAGGTCGGTCTAGAAAAAACGGAAAAGATGCTTGTAAAATGATTATATCTAAAGGACAACAAAAAAAAGTAAGCAAAGTTGAACACTAATCATATGGTTAGATTCACAATTCAATTCTCTACAGGATGCGCTGCTTTTCTTTTCTTTTTATATCTTTTTATATAATCAAAAATTCAGTTTTCAGAGTCATCAGAAAATTAAGTTTTTTCAACTTTTGAGTCCCATAACTTTGCAACGAAAGGACGTATTGAGTAGAAAATTTTTGTCGAAGTGGGCAGAGTACTAGGCAAAGCACAGGAAAAAATTTGCTCAAGCGAGGCTCGTGTAACCTGAGTTATTATAGAAACATATCTAAACAAGTGATTGTACTAGAAAGTTACGTTTCTGTCATATATATTAATTTAGTCATGCGTTCGAAACCACAACTAGAGAAAATGATTAGTACAAAGATCGACCGCATCGACTCTATAAATAAGAAACAAATATAAATGTATGATTGAATCATTATTATTTTACAATAATTAAATATTATTATGAGATCCAAATTAACCTGCAAAATAAATGAGGTTTCATCGGTGCATCTGCGTAATAGTACGTCAGAACAAGATAAATTTAACTACATGATTTATTTATTATAAAAGTCTAACTACAAATAGCTAATTAAAAAAGCTGATGCTATATAAAATTTAAAAGACAAGAAGAAAAGAAGTTGTCTTTAAAATGCACATATCTTCTTGCTAACACTTGTAGTGATTCTTAAATACAATTCACCTATATAATTAATTCACCGATTGATATTAACTCATTTTTCAGTCAGAATTTATCCACTAAAATAAACATAAAATAAATATGTCATATACATTTTTTACAATTTTAATTTACCTTTTGTTAATGTAATTTCTGAATTCGTCTTGACTTAAAGTACCATCGCGATTGGTATCTGCGGCTTGAAAGGCTGCATCAGCACCTCCTGCTCCAACACCGAAGGATGATGAATAACCACCTGCACCACCGGTACTGAAGCCTGATTCACCATATGCTCCTCCTAATCCGACTGCTCCCAAATCGCCGGTTGATGAAGAATAAGATGAGGATTCGAATGATGAACCTCCGTAACCACCAGCTGCACCTGCGTCCAAGAGAGCTCCTCCTGCACCAAAACCACCAGCTCCAGCTCCAGCACCATATGAGCTAGATTCAAAAGATGAGCTACTGTAACCAGCTCCACCAGCACCTGAGAGATCAGCACTGAATTCACCAGTTGCTAAACCTCCTGCAGCTCCAGAATATTCCGCGCCATAGGATGCACCTGATACTGCTAGACCAGCAACAACTGGTGGGCTCTAAAATAAATATACATACATTCACATATATGTTATAGTCTACTAAAATGACTCGTACTCTAAGATCTTATATGAGAATACCAAAAGTAATTGGTTGTATGTTAAAAACGAACTTTTCTTCTGATTAAAGACGACTTTTTTTCAAAGTACTTACAATGTCTTCGACAACTCCAGCCGATCGTGCTTCTTGAACAAGTGTCACACTATCACGTAATTGAGCACCATAACGTTGAACATATGATTGTGGATTTTCTGCTTGAACTCCAAGTCGTTGAAATTGTCGAACAATACGAGCTTGAATTGGTTCATATTGAATGATGACATTTCGTGGCGCCCGGTATTGTTGGGCAGCAGCAGCACGTTGAACAATTGTTCTTCGTTTAGCTTGTGCACCGTATGGAATCCATCGTTCAATGATAATATCACCTGAAAATTGAAAATAATATAATTAGTGATTGTGAAGATAAACTTGAGATTACTCAAAAACACTTACGGGGTTTTGGAGGTGGAGCAGGTAAGCGCTCGATTATGACTGAGCGTGGTGGTACAGGTAATGCAGCCAATCTTCGGATAACTAAAAGTCAAATAAAATAATGAAATAAATCAGATTTTCTTTCATACACTGTATCCAAGTCTACCTGTTTTTGCTGCAACTGAAGCTGGGGTTGGCGGTGGTCTTTCACGAAGAATGAGTGGTGGTGGCTGCAAATGAGAATGAAGCAGTGTTTATTTTCAGTAAATTTTAGTGTGTAATAAATAAGTGCTTACTTGGGGTGGGGCAGGAGCACGTTGACGAACAACGAGCGGTGGTGGCGCTGGTGGCTGTGGTGGTCTGACCTCCTTGATGATCAATGGGCCTGGTGGTGGAACTGGTGGTGGTTGAAGAAATCGAACCAGTATATTTTGTTTATATGTAACGCCACCACCTGGTGCTGGTTTACGAATTATTTGTGGGTTTGAATCTTGAAATAATCCTTGGGCATCTGTTGCGTATCGATGAACTGACACGTTTTCAGATCCAAAACTGGAGGCTCCGTATCCTCCAGCACCACCGATAACTGTTGAATAATCAGCTCCATATGCGCCACCAGCACCTCCTACAAGACCAGCGCCTCCTACAAGACCAGCACCTCCTGCAAGACTAGCAACATCCAATCCTCCTCCAGATGAATAACTTGATGATTCAAATGACGATGAACCATATCCTCCTGCTCCAGAGAGATCGCCACTTATACCAGCTCCGTATAAGCCAGCTCCTCCTTCTAATCCACCAGCACCACTGGATTCATAGCTTGATGAGTATGAACTGTATCCACCACCAGCTCCACCCAAACCAGCAAGTGAAGCATCAGCACCGTATCCGCTAGCTCCGTAACTGCTGCTTGAGTAACCAGCTCCTCCACCTGCTGCACCGGATGAGACAAGGTTGCGAAACTCGTTTAAATCTAATCGGTTATCTTTGTTTGTATCAGCTTGTTGAAATAATGCGTCAGCCATTTTGTTGTTTTACTTTCGGATTGATTACCTTACCTTCACTTGTAAATGTTAGAAGAAAGATGTGGTAAAGTTTACCGCAGTAGCTCTTGATATTATATGAAAGATAAAAATCATTCAACCAAGCCACCAAAGAAATCCTTTTTTCTCTTGCATACGTGTTTTTCTAATGGCTTTTCTCCCTTTTTCTCTTTTTTTTTTCATAGCCAATCCTCAGATTTTCCTTGGAAATCAGGCATGCATGCATCAAAAAATTTGAGAGGATATTTGATTATAGTGATCTTAGACCTGTACTCGTCACGTCCTTCACTTATTAAAAAATATTATTTTTTTCAAGGAGGAGTTAAGGACGTCAACGGCCTGATTTTGTGCTGGATAGTATCGTGTGATTCACTAAAAATATTTTTTCTCAAGCTATTCATAGGTAGATGTAGTTTTATGTGTGCATTCTTCCGAATATGTCATTGTCCCATCCAAGGACAAGATCATTTGAACCATACCTTACATTCCGCTTTCCATCAAAACATAATATCTTACTAAGAGAGATTTTTTCTTTAGCTTGGGAGACTGCGAGTAAAACATTTTTATCAACAAGTTATCCTTCGAATTGTCTATGTCTGATGACAGTTCAAAGTCGAAAGTAGGGCTATTTTTTCACAGTTGTATGTATGTCTATTTCGAAACAAAGAAAATTAAAAAAATTATGAAAATCGATTGAGTCGAACGGATTTTATTAGTGAAACATTGCGTGAACCCAGCTTTGTACCATGCCTACGCAAATTACTCGTCTACATTTGCATGAAAAGACAGATAATCATAGTATGAAATTGACTGTATCAAGCAAAAGTGTTTTGTAACTTCAATATGCTGATGTTTGTGTTCTAGTAAGAAAATATTTTGCTGTTCGCAGAGTTGGGCAAGTCAGGAGTTTTGCAAGTCCCAAGTCAAGTCGAGGTCGGAAAATTTTGACTCCCAAGTTTAGTCAAGTCTGGTTAAAATTAGGCAGAACATAACATTTGCTAGCACCTTTTGGATGAGAGAGCTTTTATAGTCTCAGAAACTCTCTTTCATGGTAGAAAAAGTCTAATTTAAACGAAAATCTCTTACTAGAAATGACTTGATTTGAAAAAAATTTCTCAAGTTAAGTCAAGTCATACCCCCAAAAAATTTTGGACTTGAGGCATTGTTGACTTGACCTGCCCAGCTCTGACTGTTCAGTCATTCAATGAAATTTATTCAGAATTTTTCCAATTTAGAATAAGTAGTGCGGATGGTAGAAATCAAGTATTTTCGTGATTTCTGCAGCAAAATAATCACTATCTGTCATATCTCTCCGATCATGCCTCGTGTTACAATCCAAAATGAATTTGACGTCACTCATATAACTCTATGTATGAATTTAAGTTACACGTATTGTATCCCTAGGAAATTATTATCTTGCTTAAAACTACCAGGTTTTTTTGAGACATGTGGAAGTCATATTGTAAACTATCTTGTAAATAAATATCAGTTTACAGTATTTTACACTAATGTCACAGATGATATGATAGCTTCGTTTGAAGGTCTTTATGTTTGTACCACAGAAAATCTCTGAAATAAGTGAGTGCTTTACTCTGTAGTTTATAATGCAGAATGATCTACATTAGTATTTGCAGTATTGAATTAAGCCCCGATCAGAAATGCCGATTTTTGTCAAAAATATCGACTTTGAGAAAAGCACATGGTTGGATGGTCCACAGTGTCTACTTTCTAATGGCATAATGTTTGTGTCGATAGGATAGATTTTTCATAGCTTTTGAGCGAGTTTTCCAGAAGCCAGAAGCAAAATATCAACAAAATATTGCACGCTCAAAGAGTTTTTAAGAAAAACGCATTTAACAGAATCACAACTTATTTTGTGTTTTTCTTAAGACTGCTTTTTAGCTTCAGAGCTTTCACCACGTGCAGGAATTCTCGGTAACGGTACATCGGAGAAAGAAAATTTTTTTGATTCGTAGATAACACCTACAGCTAGGAGTTGACGGAGTCCGATTTTTAAATTATGCTTTCATTTTATATAGAAATCAGGATTTCTAAGAAACCTTCCAAGGATTTTTCGGACTTTAAAGTTCTATTAAGCGCCAGAAATCAGTAAATAAGAAATTCAAAAATCAGGCTCTGCCAACTCCTGACCATAGGTGTTTACTGCAAAACAGAAACAGCCTGAGCTCTCTATCATTTTCCTGGAATGAAAATTCTTGCACGTGGTAGACGCCTGCCCTCCCACGAACAGTTGCAAGTAACGCCAGAAAAAAATTTCGTTACTACACTTTGACATGATCATGAACATTCTCAGGCAGGGTCTTAAATTTCTAAAAATACGCAAAATATTATGCTTTGTCATTTTTCTAAAATTTCAAACTATTTTTTTTATTCGCCATGAAAAGCTGAATTCGATCAATCTAAAAACGAGACCAGGATATCAATAAACTGTCTTTTCGTCCGTAAAAAATCATATGTAAATCGTGAATGGTAATCATTTCGTTAAATAAATGGCTGATTTGTGCTATGAGAACATACAAGTACTTTTGTGTATGACAACAATAGTTGATTATACGAAATATAGTGCAGGCTCGTGTTTTTTACTATACGATCGTAAAACTTTTAGTTTTGACCAACTGTCGTTGCTGTTATTATCATCACTGTTTATTTGAATTTGAATAAAGAATAAGGAGAAAAAATTTCAGTTAAAAATTAACATATAAGTAAAAGACTGTTTAAATTTCAGTAGACATGGAACTGAAACCTTTAGAAAATTGCCTGAGAATCTTTTGAGAATCGGTCTTTCGGAAAGCTCGTAAAAATCTGTTTTCGTCGAGAAACTGATCAAAAACTATCTTACTCAGAAGAGCAAAAATTCCTCTAAAATGAGACTTTAACAGAACTCTTTACAATTGACGTCGAGAAAAAAAGGTCATTTTAGATCTGAGTTATTTTTCGCTACTCTTTCTTGTTTTAATTTTATTGTTACCTTTCAACGTCAAAGACGTCTTCGTCAGACAAGGTCGCATAAAAATGAAGAAAAGATAATTAATCAGATTACATATATCAGTGATTCTGATAAGAATAGTACCGTTCGAAATTCGAATAACGTAAATGCTCCTAAGCGTCTCTTCTCTTTGACTTGATGTACCAATTTCGCATTTCTCGCATATACTCATCAATGTTAGACCCATAATCGTTGCAAATATAGCTTTTCTATTTTGAACTATTAACGAGTTAGAAGCAAAACATCTATATCTGACCGTTATTTTGTTGTTGATCTTCTTGTAGTTCACATGAGTCACGTTTTGTAAATGTTATTTTTCTCTGCTACTTTGTGTGGAATAATATTTTATTCTTTCTATTTTCTAGAATTTTCTTTGCTCTATGCAGCCACACCATTTTATTTTTGTTCCCAGCATTTTAGGTTTTTTCTCAAATTTGTTCAGAATTCATAGTTCTAAAATCCAATTTTTTTCTTATCCCGTAACCACATAGTTCTGGCCTTGATTTTTCTTATCCCAAACATTGATTAAATATGTAGAATAGATAACAGCGAAAACTCGATGTTTTTATCACATTTCACCAACGTGCAATTCATGCCTTACTGATTCTAGGTGAGGTTTGACCGATAATTTGTTCCGTAACCACCCACTATATCGGCTCTGATCCGAACATGATAGACAGTTGTTGTTTTTTACCATACGTGTAGTTTAACCACATGATAATCCTATAAGAATGACAAAGACTAAAATTGCTTTATAGGGGAAAAAAATAGAAAATACTAGAAAATGTCCCGGAACCGTTTCTTTTGGTTTGTTTTGTAACTTTAACGTAACACGTGTAAACGTGTACAAAGCAAATTTTTAGTATAAAGGTTTTACAACATGGAGAATCTAAAGATGTGCATATACAGCGTTCAAATGGGTGAAAAAAGAGTTGCTGGAAATTCGGGGTTTTCAGAAAACTAAGGATGCTGAAAGTTTTGTAAAATCGTTTTTGAGTATACCAGTAGATGGAGCACACTTTCTAATCCGCAATTATCTACTTTTAGAGTAGTCCCAGTTATCTGTGCATGAAAATCAACAGAGAAGGTTTATCTCCTTACATTTAAAATCCACGGTTTTTTGAAAATCCAGGATACAAAGAAGTGGTAGTTTGCAAACTTACTTCTTCTGGTACTACTAGGCACTCACTATCGACATATGATATTCAACTACCCAAGCGTTTACTTTTCTTTTGATCAAATTTTTGAAAACAAACGGTACTACTTTTACCAGAATCATATATATGAGTGAATTGTAATGGTATTGTACCGTTAGAAAGAAAAATTTCTAAAAATTCAAGTTAAACAAAAACAAAATTCGGAGATATGCATTCCCTACACTTGGTGCATTGGCGACCGTGAACCGGTAGGTTTTCTAGAGTTACGAAAATACTTAGGGTTTTGATGAAAGAAAGCGTTATTTATTAAATGAAAAGTAAAGTGTCATATAGCGTTCGAACGAATTCGTCAATGCGCATCGCACGTGCACGTGCGAAGGTACATATGCAGGCATCGATGGTCGCGAGGTCCGTTTTTAGGAAATGTGTGCTCTAATAAACAGTTGACAAGAATACCTTACAAAGCATTCACATTAGTCCTGACACAATAGGCAAACAGAATTATTGCTTCGGATTTTCAAAGAGTTTCCCAGAAAACTAGTTTTTGAGGAGTTTCTTTTCCATCTATGATGTTTTTGAAAATATTGCCATGAGCTTAGGTCAAGTCGATTCAGCTTTTTGAAAAATTTCGAAAAGTTTTATTTAGACAAGCTACGCTTTACGTACTAATTATGTTTTCATTGGTTATCCAATTAGTTAATTGATTAATTGCAGTTTGTTCTTTGTTAAAAGTAAACCATTCCATCAGATAATCATGTTAGAAAAAGCGTTCCAGAAAAATAACTCCAACCCGAGAATAAAATAAATGAAGGATAGTC